CTATCTAGAACCTTCTAAAACAGCTAAATTACTAACTAGCGTATAGCAGCCCCAAGGTAGGACGAAGCTTCACTGTTCTGCTAAACTCAGAGACCACCATCCCCTCTAAACTCAGAGATGCCCCCCAAAGTCTATACAAGTAAGGAGTTTCCTTTGTTCTGCAGGGGTTTTGTTTGTGTTGCTTTTGTTTTGTTTTGTTTTATGCCACCTGGTCTCTCTATGTAGCCCGGGCTGTCCTGGAACTCACTATGTAGGTCAGGCTGGCCAGGAAGTCACTGAGATCCTCCTGATTGCATTGGGTTTAAAGGCGTGTGATGCCACACCCAGCTGGTTGTTGTATCTTCTGTCATCCCAGACATCCCTCTTGCTATGAGTGGCCGTTATAACTAGTATACTTCACCAGAAATCTAGCTCACCCGGAAATAATCTTTATTATTTAAAAACATTTACATCCTAAATTTTCATTACTTTTTTTCTTAGTAGATTTAGGGGAGCAGCATGCTATGGTGCCTGTGTGGAGGTCAGAGGACAACTTGTGGGGAGTCTGTTCTGTCCTTCTGCCAAGTAAGTCCCAGGGGATCCATGTCAGAGCATCAAGTTTGCATTGATCGAGTGGTATGTACCTTTAACGGCTACACCATCTCAATCCCTCTCAGCTCTCCCCTCCCCATCTTACCATGTAGCCCAGACTCTTACTATGTAACCTTGATCTGAAGATCCTCAAGTCTCAGCCTCCTGAGTGATGGAATTACAGGCATGTGCCACTGTGCTCAATTTGCATTTATTTGATGATACGATTTCTATTTTTATTTTTCTTAAAGTCTCTGGTAGTCTTGGGGCTGGAAAAATGGCTCAGTGGCTAAGAGCACTTGCTTGCTGCTCTTGCAGAGGACCCACAGGACCTGGGTTCGAGTTTCAGTTCTGAAATCAGGCAGCATTTCATCCCATAGCATAGACTTGGTGTGAGTCTGAGCACAAGTTGGTTTTGTGACAGAAAAGGGCTGAATGAAAAAGAAATAAGCCAGGTACATGTTCAATCCTGCACTCTGGAGGCTGAAGGAAGAGAACTAACTGCCAATTCCAGATCAGCCTCAAAATAAGGCGGCCGGCGGGAAGACAAACAAAAGCAATCCAGACAAGAAGGAAAAGTGGAGGAGAAGGAAAGGAGAAATCAGAGAAGAAAGGAGATACAAATGGGAAGATCACAAGAGTTAAAAGCCTGTCAGAGCTGCTAAAGACACAGAAGGGAGTCGGGGAGGGAGGGCCGGCTGGCTCCTGGTTTCCTGCATTAGAGCTGAGTTCATTGTCCAACAATCTGGAACAACAGTAATAGAAGAGGAAGTAAGCAGAGTGTGGAGAAGTGAAGAAAGCTCTTGCAGCCAGGCAGAGCCTGGAAACGAGTAGCAAGCACTCTGGAGCACAGGTGCTTTTATATCCTGAGAACGGGCCAGTTTGATCCAGCAAGGAGTTGGGATGAACCCCTAGCGGCTATTTTGAATGTATGAGGGGAGGTATTCTGATGCGTCAAGAAGGCAAACTCAGGGGGAAAAAAAGGCCAGAGAAAATGACCTACAAAAAAAGTCTGGGGGTGGGAAGAAGAGTCAGGAAGCGGGAAGAAGGATGTCTGGTGGTTAGCTGATAACTCGCTGAGTCAAGGCGTTTGTGGATTTTAGCTGCAGAACTCACTGCCTTGCAGAGTTCATTATAAAACCTGGGTGTTCTTAGAAGTTGACTACCAGCTTTGCTGGGATATGTAGACACTTTTGCTTTCTTAGGACCTGTAACCCTGACAAGCTGCCTATAAAACGGAGTTACTTTACTAATTCCTATTAGAAGAACCCCAAAGCAAATCATTTCAAAGTTGGTGCTGATGGAACAATAGAAAACTCACGGATTGGTTAATGTTACTTATTTCAGTTTACCCGCGTTCCTCCTGTGAGCACTGAGGCAGAGAGAGCTTGTTTGGGAACGGGATTATTACCTCACTTCTCCTTTGAACACCCGATTAAATGGTTTGGTTTTAGTTTAAGGCAAGTTGACTTAGGTAAACGACTCCGCCTTTGATTTTGCTTGATTTGTTTGTTGTGTTGGAGATAATGTTACAGTTGGTATGATCAGGGCTAGGCTGATCCAGTGAATGGAATCTACCACTGGCCTGGGTGGAGACCTAACATTCCAGGATTCCTAGAACACGAGTTAACCCAGTTGGGTCTATCAGTTACTTGGCTAAAAGACCATTCCTCTAGAAAGTGGATTCATCTATTACCCCACTAAAGAAATGGGAGGAATAATCATTCCTTTAGTGAGATACTACATTTTCCTTTCCCAGAACTGCAGTCCTCTGTGCAGTTACTACAGAGACAACCCTGGGTTGCATTAAGTTGGCCCCATGAGAAAGGCACACTTTTCACTTTTTCTTTTTTTCTTTTTGGTGCTGGTCAGAGCCCAACATGCTTCCTCTGGTACTTTGGGCTTTTTCACTATTTCTCTGAAGCTATCTCTCCCACCTCACCCCTGCCATGTGGATACTTGCTCAGTGAACATCTGGGCTAAACTCGAAAAGGCATTTCTTTCTTTCTTTCTTTTTTCTTTCTTTCTTTTTTCTTTCTTTCTTTCTTTTTTTTTTTAGAGCTTTATTAAGAGAAGGAGAGAGAGCAAGAAAGCGCCAAAGAGACGCAGAGAGAGACAGAGACAAGGACAAAGAGACCAGGTGGAGGGAGAGAGTACAGAGAGCGAAAAGGCATTTCTTTCTTCTTTTTCTCCATCTCCCTTCAGCTGCTAAAAGTTACAGCTTGTCTGCTTGGCTGTTTTTGTTTGCTGTTTTTTGTTTTTATACTCTAAATAAAGTTGTCTTGGAGCTTTTTTGTCTGAGTCTGTTCTTCAATCCTTCTATTAATGAGACTTAGAACCCTAAAGAAGGGGTCAGTTTTCCTGGAAACACATATCACCCTGATAGGACTTCCCAGAATTTCTTATTATAACCAAATCCAGGGTCTTGCACATTCCAGACAAGCGCTCTAATATTGGACTCTGTTCCCAGCTCTCCATCTTGACTTTTAGTCTGGTCTGCTTCAATCTAGTATAGGAGTTCAAACTGAGGCAATGGTTTCCTGGAATTTTTATTTAATACAACTCTGTGTACAGGAAATAGACATGGTCATTTCTGACTATGAAGGAAGACAAAAAAAAGTTCTCTTTATTTCTTTGTTTGAGACAGGGTTTCTCTGTGTAGAACTGGCTTTGTAGACCAGGCTAGCCTCAAACTCAGAGATCTGCCTGCCTCTGCCTCCTGAGGGTTAGGATTAAAGGCGTGCGCCACCATGCTTGGGTTTGAGTTCTCTTTATTCTTGTTTGCTGCAATGTAGTGGCTACTCTTCCAGAGGATCCAGGTTCAATTCCCAGCGCCCACATGTCAGCTCATAATGCCTATAACTACAGTTCTAGGGCTTGCTTACAGTTACAGAACACTCAGATCTGCAGGCAGCGGGAACAGAAAAAAGCCTCTGGGCCCAGCTTGAGCATCTGAAATCTCAAAGCCTACCCCCAGTGGCATACTGCCTCCAACAAGACCACACCTACTCCAACAATTCTACAATCCTAATCCTTTCAAATAGTGCCACTCCCTATGAGCCTATGGGGGACACTTTTATTTAAACAAGAGAGAGCAAGCCCCATTACTGGAAATCAAACTAAGAAACTTAAGCATGTAGCCAGGCCGTGGTGGCACACGCCTTTAATCCCAGCACTGGGGAGGCAAAGCCAGGTTGGTAAGCAAGGCCAGCCTTGTCTACATAAGCATGCTACACAGGTGATTGTCTCTCAAACTCCATCTTTTTTGATTTTGCTTAAAAACATGGTATTTAGGCACAGTGGCACTCACCTTTAATCCTTGCACTCAGAAGCAGAGGTAGGTAGACCCTGTGGATTAGAATCCAACTTGGTCTACATAGAATTCCAGGTCAGCCAGAGTTACATAGTGAGACCCTGTATGGAGAAGGAAAAAAAAAAAAAAAGAAGAAAAGAAAAAATATCGTGTGGCTTTCTTGGCATACTGACACATGGTATACACTTGAGAGCAGTCTGGGCTTCATATTGACATAGCCTACAATCCAAGAAAAAAAAGGCAAACCTCTCCCCAAAACTGGGATAAAATGTTGTATAGTTAATGGAATTGCAGCAGTGTACCAATAACAATTTATTCAGGGTCCCCTTTTTGCATTGTTTATGTGTGTATTTTGTAAGATGGGATCTACTATAGTCCAGGCTGGCCTTGAACTCCTTGAACTTCTGATCCTCCTGTTTCAACCTCCCAGGTGCTAGAATTATAGACCCACACCCATCACACCCAATTTTATACTGTGCGGTGCTGGTGATCATGCCAGGGCTTTGCACATGCTAGGCAAGTACTCTGCTAATGAAGCGACATGCCCACCGCAGGACCCTTTAATTATCCAGGGCTGCACTAATAGGTAGCTACTGGCCGGGCATAGGGATCTATTTAGATATAAACGAATTAAAATGGAATTAAATTTTTAAAAGCTCAGTTTCTCACGCTAGCCACATTTCAAGCGCCCATTAGTCCCGTGCAAAGTGTCTACTGTGTTGGAGAGTACAGGAAGAGAACACTTCCATTGTGTCAGGAGTTTCTTATAGACCGCTCTGGCAACATTGGAGTGTGTTTCTCTATTTACCAATAATCAATTTTACCCTGAATCTGTGTATAAACCAAGCTCAAAGGCTGGTGTCTAAGCTCTTCTACTTCCTAGTCCTGTAGTAACAAGTGTAAGAATTTTGTCTGGTCAGCATGCAAGCAATAACTCAGCAAGGATGCCCAGATTCAAATGTGGAAGCAGGAGGGGCGGGGAAGGGGCGGGGCCGGCTAGGAGCTCAGCTTCAGTCGGGGGCGGAGCCTCGCACCAGCCCGGGGCGGGGCCTGGAGGGGCGGGCCCGAGGGGCGGGCCGGGAGGCGGGCCCGCCAGCGGGTCGGCGCGCCAGCCCCGCCTTGCGTGCTCACGTGACAGGTCGGCGAGGCCCGGCTCTTGCAGTCGTCCAGGCCAGCGAAGATGGCGGCCGAGAGGGAACCTCCTCCGCTGGGGGACGTGAAGCCCACCGACTTCGAGGAGCTGGAGGACGGAGAGGACCTGTTCACCAGCACGGTCTCCACCCTCGAGGTGAGGCGGCCGGGGCCCCCGCCGGGGAGGCCCCCGGCGCCGCGCGCGCGCGTGTGTCCCCGCGCCGCGCGCCTCCCTCGCCGCCTCTTCCCCCGGCGCGACTCGTCCCCTCCCCACTCCCGGGGTCTTGTCCAGGCCAGGTCCGGTGACACCTGTGACGCTGGCCGCCCCTCAGGTGCCTGTCAAGGGGGCTGGGGCGGCCTGGGCGGCCAGGCCGGCCTCCGGACAGCCGCCTGCGGGCCTGGGGTCCGACCTCATCCTCCGGGGGGCCGGGACCCACCGATGGAACCTGGCCGTGCTTGCGGGCTCTCGGGCCTTCCGTGTCACTCGCGCCTCTTCCTCCAGGCAGGAGGAAGGCTTGTCCCCCCCCGCTTCCCGGGCACCTCCGCTCCCTCTGGGATTTCAGCAGCCCCCCCGGGGAAGAGGGGCTTGTTTCCCTGCCCACCGGAGGGTGTGCCCTGCAAGGAGAGAGAGCCGGGAAGTCATGAAGTGAACGCTCAGGGGCTGAGGGTCCCCCGGGAGGTTTGGGTGCGCTTTTCACCGTCCGTGTCCTTCATGGACTGACTGTTCGTTCTCTTGGAGATAGGAGCCTCTTTAAAAAAAAAAAAAAAAATAGATAATTGCATTTAATTAGTAGACTTCTTGGGTTGGGGGGGCGAGATCTCGTGCAGCCCAGGCTGGGCTCGAACTCACATGTAGCTGAGGATGGCTTTGAACTTCTGATCTTCCTTGCCTCTCCTCTTTCCAAGTGCTGAGATCAGCTGACGTGAGCCGCCGCTTGGGTTTTAGACTTTTCAGGGGCTGTAATGTTTGGAAAATACAAAGTCAAAGGAGGGAGTCGGCCAGGAAACTTTTTTTTTAATTACTAGGGGAGAAATAGAAACAGATCTCTACTCCTTTTTCCTCTTTTTTCGCATGGTCAGCGATCTCTGTAGCTGTGTTCCTGTTTTTGTCAAAGGAAACACTCATGAGTTTAACCGTGTTGGCCCGCCTTTTTCTAGTCACATTTGAATTGCTTTACATTGAATGAGAGCGTATCCACCGGAAATCCTAATTTTAAGCATGTAAGCACTTTGCTCGGAAAATTGTTTACCTCAGATGTAGTTTTTTTTTTTTTTCCTCTTGTGTGTGTGTGTGTGTGTGTGTGTGTGTGTGTGTGTGTGACTTGCTTACGAAAATCAAAGAACAACTTTTAGGAGTTGGTTCTCTGCTCTCACTATGGTCAGGTAGTTTTCCCAGCCTAGCAGCTCACCTGCTCTCTACTTCCTTACAAAGTTCTCTAGTTCAGTTCTGCACCAAATCAACTGGAGCTAACTGTAAAACACCCTTATCTGAATTTCATTGGCCTGAAACTGAAAACCACTAACTACATTCTACTAATTGTATCTGTAGTGGTGAAGCCAAACCCCACCTCCCCACAGACTGTAGATTCTTTGGATGGTGCCTTGATCGTCTATATGTTCTAAACAAAATCTTGAGTATTTGTATCTTGATGCAGCTAATACTGGTTTAATTGTCAAAACCCTATCTCCTAAAATTAGTTAAAATTACTTTGCAGAATATATTTTTCTGGGCAGGGAGAGTTAGTATCCTTGTATACTTTGATATCTTTTATGTAGCTTAAGGTGTGTTGAACATATCTGCAGGGTCCCAAAACCTGCATCGTCTTCCCTAGATACAATACACAGAGTAAAAAGGACTATAGTCTGTATCTCTACATTTGATGTTTGGCCTTTTTTTTTTTTTTTAAAGAAAGTCTGCATAGTTTTATTATGAATATACTTATTTTGGTTAATACACTGTGAAAGTTGTAAATAAAGTTGTTAATTGGTCATTGACCTGAACCCGTTATCTCAAGAATTCATTTTAAAGAAAGTGGTGTGACTGTGAGAATTTTAGCTGCGTTTTAAAAGTTTTCAGGTTAGCATACAAGGTTCGTTTTCCCCTCTTCAGAATGTTTGGGAAATATCTATGAGGGATCCTGTGTCATTACTTCACCTCTTTTACATAGAGCGTCTTACACTTTGGGTGCAAAAGAATCCCCAGTATTCATGCACAGATGCCTGTACCTGGCTGCAATTCTATATGTTTAACAAATGCTTTTTCTTTCTCTCTGTGTAGCCTAGACTGGCATGGAACTCCTCTTGGCTGAGCCTGAGTGCTAGTGTTACAAACATGTACCTCCGCTCCTGGCTGTGGACTGGTATTTTTCTTGTACTTGGGTTGAACATGCTCAGCAACACTCCCAGCCCCAGATCAGTATCTTCGAACTGTAGATAGAATTTATTCAGGGGTCTTGTTGTACATATCATGATTCTATAGGACACTGTAGAGGCCTATAATTTATTTGTTTGTTTTGAGGCTGACTTTCCTACATATGATTCTGTAGGACACCATAGGGGCCTATCATTTGTTTGTTTGTTTGTTTTGAGACTGGCTTTCCTATGTATTGTGATTCTGTAGGACACCATAGAGGCCAATCATTTGTTTGTTTGTTTTGAGACTGGCTTTCCTACATATCATGATTCTGTAGGACACTGTAGAGGCCTATCATTCGTTTGTTTTGAGACAGGTTCTCACTGTGTAGCTCTGGCTGACCTGGAACTCAATATATAGACCAGGCTGGCTTTAAACTCGTAGAGAATCTCTTGCCTCTGCCTCCTGAGTGCTGGGATTAAAGGCATGCACCACTATGCCTGGTCCATCAGCCCATTTATTGATTGGGATGTTTGATTTCTTATGTAGGTTTTTTTTTGTATGTTCTGGATATTAATCTGTCTGGTGTATAAAGATTAATTATTTTTTCCCTATTCTGTAGACTGTCTCTTCACTCAGTTGCTTCCTTTGCTGTGCAGACACTTTTTAATGTTCTGAAATCCCATTTGTAAGTTGTTAGCATTGTTTCCTGAGTTAGTGGTGACCTTTTCAGAAAGTCCTTTTGCCAGCGCTTCCCCTGTCTTTCCTCTGACAGTTCCAGGGCTTCAGGTCCTGTTTTAGGGTCTTTAGTGCATTCAGAGTCGGTTTTTATACAAGGCCAGTAATCGTCACTTTCATTCTTGTACATGTAGATAGCCAATTTTCCCAGGGCCATTTGTTGAAAAGGGTGTGTTTTCAGTGGTGTGTATTTTGGACATCTTTGTCGAAAATCTGGCTGGGAAGCTGGTGAGATTTTTTAGTGTGTAACTTGCCGTCAAGCCTGATGACCACAGTTCAATTCCCAAGGAGGTAACCAACTCCCTACACATTGCCCTTTGACCTCCACAATGGCATGCATATGCCCCTCATCCCCTCAATAAATGTAAGTTAAATTTGTTTTTAATCAGGTGCCTGTAGTTGCATGGATTTATAGCTGGGTCTTCTGTTTTATTCCATCTGCCTCCTTGCTTGTTTTGTGCTAGTACCATGTTTTGTAGTGTCACTTGAAATCAGTTATGATTGCACCATTGCTCTTTTCCTTGCTTTCCAGTTTGTTGACGCTTCCATATGAATCTCAGTATTCTTTATATTTCTGTAAAGAATGTTCCTGGAGTTTTGTTAGGGATTGCATTGAGTCTGTAGATTGCCTTTTGAAAGATAAATCTTCATAATAGTAATTCTGTTGATTCGTGAGTGAGGGGAGTTATCTCATTTCATAGTGTCTTCAGGTTTATTTCTTCATTGTTTTAATTTTTTTGTAGAGGTCTTTTGCTTCCTTGCTTAGGTTTATTCCAAGATGTGTCTGTTTGTTTATTTTTAGAGAATTTTGATGGGATTGTTTTCCTAATTTCTTGCTTAGCATGTTTGTACAGACAGTTGTGAGCGATCATGTGGGTGCTGGGAATTAAACCTGGGTCTTGTGAAAGATCAGTAAGTACTCTAACCACTAAGCCACCTCTCTAGCCCGAATTATCCTTTTTTTTTTTTTCTCTAAGATTTTTTATTTTTTGTGTATGAGGTTTTTTTTCTTTTTCCCCAGGGGTGGAGAGGTGGCTGTATTAATGTGTGCATGGCTCATGCATTCAGAGGTCAGAAGCATCTGGAGTAACTGGAGTTACAGGTAGTTGTGGTCCACCATGTGGGTGCTGGTGGAACCTGGGTTCCTCTGCAAGAATAACACATGCTCATAACTTCTGTCTGAGCCATCTCTCCAGTCCCTGAATTACCTTTGTGATTTGATCTTGAATTTGGTTTGTAATTATTTTATTGAGGATTTTTGTGTCTGTGTTCATCAGGGAGATGTGTCTGTAATTTTCTTTTCTTTCTTTCTTTTTTTTTTTTGGTTGTGTTTTTGTCTGGTTATGCCACCAACATAACACTGGAGTCATAAGAAGAGTATGGAAGCATTCTTTTCTTTTCTATTTTATGGACTACTTTGTGAATGATTGTTGTTGATTCTTTTTACAAGTTTGGTAGAATTTTGTAGTGAATGCATCTTGGGCTGGATTTCTTTTAGTTGGAAGATTTTTATTACTCTCTAAATCTTGCTTGTCACAGACCTGGTTTCATCATTTATGTCTTCCTTAGTTTTACTTCAGTAGGTCATATGCATCTAGAAATTAATTTCCTCTTGATTTTCAAATTTAGTGGAATATAAGTATTTTAAATTTAAAAAGGATTTATTTTTATTATTTTTATGTGTATCTGTGTGGGTGAGTGAATGCTACATGTATGTGGTTCCTGTGGAGGCCAAGAGAGAGCATGAGATCTCTTGGATCTAGAGTTATAGGCCTTCCAGGCCACCTGACATGGATTCTAGAATTAAACTTGGGTCCTCTGGAAGGACAGCAAGTGCTCTTATCTGCTGAGCTATTGCCCTAGCCCCAAAATACATTCTTAATGTGTACCTTATGATTTTATGGCTGATTCTTTTCCATTGTATTGGGGGTTGGGATGTGTGCTGCCTATATACAGTGCATGTGTGGCAGTCAGGACAAATTTGGGGGGTTGATTCTTTCAATTATGTAGGTCCTGGGAAACTTGGGTTGTTGGGCTTGGCTGAGAGCCCTTTACCTGTTGAGTCA